GATTCACGGAGGATAGAATCAATTTTTGTAACAATCGCATAAATGGTTATAAAAATTATTTCTTTTAATTTTTAATAATATTTTATATTTGATTCGATTGCTTTGGATGTATTTAATTTACTAAGTGAACTGATATTTTTAGTATGCTTTTACTACCTCAGATATTTGAAAACATATAGGTTAACCTAGAAAGGGTAACAGTTAAGGAAGGATAGGTTTTAGACTTTTAAAACATTGTAAAAATAATTAATTGCGGTTAAAAATGAAACCTGAGCTTTAATATCTACTTAACTATGAAAGATCAAAACACAATAAAAGTGTAGGTCAAACACATTTAGTTTTATTAAATATCAAGGGGTAACACCATCGGGGGACATTTCGTGAGATTCACCCATATTTGTGTTAAAAATTTAAAATTAAAAAAACTTTACCGCTTTAAGGAGCAAAAAAAAAGTTTTACAAGCATATAGTATATTATTTAAACTTATATTTAGTTAATACAAGTATATATTTGCTTTTATTAACCAAATATATTTTTAAAAAGGCGAAGAAAGTAAAAGTTCTCGATCAAATAAATATTTTCTTGTATATATCGAAATATAGGATTTATTTAAGCCTAGCCAAATAGATTAAAATCAAGACATTACTTTTCTCTGTGCAGTATATGTTTGTTAAAAATACTATTATACCCAATCCAAAATTACCAAATAAAACAAATTTGGTCGATTCCTTGCGAAAATCTACCACAACATTTTCTTTACTATTTTTTCGAATTCGTAAAATTGTAGTTATTTAATTTTTAAGGATGTCCCAAAATTGGTAACATAACGAAATTGGCGCCCAAATTATAAAGGTTCAATTTAATTTTAATTATTTATCATTTATCATTTTACCATGCATGTTCAATAACACACTTTTTATTATTAAATTTATAAATTTAATATTTTTGTTTAAATAATGATACATTTAATATTTAATATATGATTAATATTTAATTCAAACAAAATTTAAAATTGTTTAGTTAAAATATCGATTTAAAATATAAAATAACATTTAAATATATTGTAAATGTTTACTAAAACTCAAACAAAAACTTCTTTTCATAGTTAAGTATTGAAATAATTTGATTAGGCAACGTTTAAAATCTACCAAAAACAATAATAAATTTGTCAAGACCCTTTTCTAAAGACTTTTAAAATATCCAAATTTACGAAAGTTTAGTTCCAAGTAAATTTACATTAGCAATTTGCAGGATATTTATGTAATGACATAAACCTTATATTTTAGAATGAACCCTTTTACCTCTTTTAATTCCCTTCGACTATAATTACCCATAAAATATACTTTGTATTAATTTATTTTTTATTTTTATACAGAAAATGTTTATTAGGGACCAGTTGCAAATATCATACTTATAACGTTCCATTTACGATGTGGACAGCACAGAGAAACAAATAAATTAAAACCCCTCTAGTTTTCCTATCAAATTAGTGATGTTTTAAATTTTAAACGCTAACACGTTGCAACACCAAAAAGGTCCGGAATCCAACAAACATTCTCAAAATAACTGCGGTGCGGGTGAACAAAAAAACGAGGCCCTGTTATCGAGTAAAATGGCTGTGAATAGTTAAAACAAAGGTACACATTAAATCTAAAAAGAATGCGTAAATTAAAAATTCTAACCGTTTTAATTATATTTTTTTACTTAAACAGTAAAAAATTTTGCCCGTGTAGGGGTAAAAATATTAGAGTTGATTTGTAAGTGTAAAAGTACACTACAAAATACACTAGGTAGCATTTAGTGCTTATTAACTTTACTAAACACATTTAAAGAATATGAACATTATTCATTGGTACATTTACACTATTTATTATTAAAATAAATCAAAAGGGTAGAAAAACTTAATGCGAGTGTTTATTACCCCTTAATGTGTTAAATAGTGACAAAATGTACACTACAGTGCATGCCAATTTCTTTGTTTGTTTTGATGTTACTAAGAGCTCTTTTTTCTTTACACTACTAGTGCACATTATATCACAATTACAGTTAAATTACACCAATAGTGGCAAAATATATTGAAAAAACTGGTAATAACCGAAATGCGTTTTAAAATGTTTGGTTTCTTTTTCTTTAAGCCTTAATACTCGATAAATACCAATATGTTAAAAGGATGTCCATACCCGACCTATATTTTATATCAATAATTTACGGCAGTAGGTCGGGTACTTGTAAAACTAATAATATAAATACATACACACTTGATTTACTTTTTATTTTCAAGCGTAATGGTTGTTATATTAACCTTTACCTACATTTTTATTAATATTATGGAAAATTTGTACACGTGTGGTAAATCCCCGACATACAGCCGCCTGACGCCTCTCTACCTATGGGATCACCCATTTTTTATAACAGAAAAATGGATTACTGATAAATTCTCAAGATAATTCATTGCTTACAAGTTGACAGCCAGTAAAACATTGCATTGATCTAAAACTTTTACGTTTTAAGGAACCATTTTGCTTAAGCCAGCCATACGACTCAAATATAAAATTATATTTTAAAAGGCCACGATTTTGATAATTTTTGTTCCAAATAAATGTTTCTCCTTATTTACCTTTTCGTTTTATTTACTACCACCAATAGGTTTTACTCAAATAATAGTGTTAATTTACAATAGAAGTTTGCACTAAAAGATTAAAAGTACTTTTCTAAAATTAGAACTTTTTCAAAGTAGAGTTAATTTACACTGAACAAAAGTGGGATTTTACCCAGGAAGTGTAGAAGTACACGATTTTAGGTAAATTAACACTTTTTAATACAGTGTAAAATTACTTTATCCTCAGTGCCATAGTGTTAAATCATACTTGCTTACTTGGGGAAAATTACACTACAAATTAACTCTAATTGTAGTGTTATAAAACAGCACTATTTAGTGTGGACCTGTGTGAACTCTAATTAGTGTTGCTTAGAGTTTATTTTTTTTACTGTGTATTCTGTAAAATATAAAGTTATTTATTTTGATTTTAATAATGCTACAATATTTTATACATTAGTGGTATTTTGACTGGTTACTATATGTGGGTCTTTCGATTTTTTTAATTTTTTAAATAATTAGAAAGTATCTAAGTAAAAAGGTTTCAAATGTCAACCAAATTGTAAATGATAGATTTTTCTATTGCAATATCTACCCTCTCTATTAAACTTTTATTTTATTGTAAAATTTACTTGTAAAGTGTTTTGTAATATTTTGTGGAACGCACCCTTAGACATACGTTGTTCAACCTTTTTTCATGTAGACACACTAGTCTAGGGGTGTGCAAAGGGCCTTAATCGATTACGTAACGGTCAAATTAACATAAACTAACATTAGAACAAGTTGAATTGCGAGATAATAGGATTCTATGTTGTGTTAACGTAGCGGCGTTACGCCTGTTACTATAACCAATCGCCTCAGACTGCTGCTGTTTACTTTTGTAATAAGTCCCTAGGCGCGCAAACTTTGTCCATCGCCAATTAATTACACTATGATAGTTAGAAACCTTTTTTCTAACATTGAGTACTCAGGCCTAGTTTAACTATTTTTGAGTCGCTGATTTCAAAAATTGAATTGGAAAAATAGGATTTAAAATAAATGCGTAATAAAATGGTCTGCCTAATCAACTCAAAGTGTAAGTTTTTTTGTTCATATTTAAATTATTTATTAAATTATTTTGCCTTAAATTTATCTTGAATATACTGTAGTAATCGGTATATGTCAAATAGATAATATTTAACTTAACAAAATCATATTTTGAAGTTATTTTAATATTTTAAAGTATCAATAGTTCTTAAGTTTAATTTAAATTAATAACGGGCAATGTTAATGATGACAATTAGGTCAAAATTTTTATTTAAATCGTAGTGCCATTTATTTATTCCCGTACAGTAAGGACGGCATTCCTTCCTCCCGTAGAAATTTTTAAGTTTTATCTTTCACCGTAAAGGTCTTTGACATGACCAATCACAGTTCTTGTTATGGACATGCGCTGTAGGGTGAAAGCGCGTAGGCACAAAATATTTAAAATACATGATTGTTTAGTATTATTTAAGATAGGTGTTCTGTTTATTAAATAATTTGTGTTTCTAAATAGAATATTTAGATATTGTTGGAAGACTCGCCCACTTTACGAAGACCGGGAAACTACGGGGTTTTACAAAGCAACGTTTCTAAAAATGAAAGACATTGATCATAAACAATATCCAAATATCCTATTTAGAAACACAAATTATTTAATAAACTAAACACCCATCTTAAATAATACTAAACAATCATGTATTTTAAATATTTTGTGCCTACGCATATATGGAGAAATGCAGTAACTACCAAAAAATTCTAAATGCGTTTTTTTGTGCTATAATAAAGCTATGGACATTTTGTATCTTAATTCAACAAAGAAATGCAGTAAACTATCTTATAAGTTAAATAAATCAGTTAAATACTTACTGCTTTTTATAAAAATGTAGTTTATGCCAATTTCCCACAAATTTCTTGTTTAGCAGTTACTGTCTTTCTCCATAGTTGGGCAGTATACAACAAGCTGCCTGGGCAATTAAAATTGTGATCACTGCACTAATATATAAATGTTTATCTTGCATATTTACACACAATGCATAATATAAACAAAAACAAATGTCAACCATTTTAGGTGTCATCGCGCATGGTTACGGAATTTTACACGGAAATCTATAAATTGACTTTTTACAAGACGTACAAATCGCACGGGCACCACTACGGGAGGAAGGAAGGAAGGCAATCTATAATTCAGGCTTAATTGCATTAAAAATAAGTTTATTATCATTAATGCATTATAAGGATGCATCCTTGATTTTTTATTTATCAAATGATAACTGGCTATGATGGCTATCTAAATGGTAAAACCTTATTTCTTTTGATTAAAGTTTGTTTGAAAATACAAAAATTTTGGTGTAATCATTAGGAATTGCTTGTGAAATTCGTCTAGCACTTGTGCTGGAACGTGTTGGGGAAAATGGAACCTACGTCAAAAGTGTTGGCAATTTCTACCGTTCGACATAGTGTGGATATTTCATGCAGAGCATACGTTAGACGGAACGACTGGCTGTTAGTAGTTTGTAGGCAATGGAGCAGACTGAGAGAAAAACGATCGAGAGTCGAAGAATCGAAGACTACGGCAATCGGGACACAATCGACTGAATAAATCAGGTTTTTGTTTACTTATTTCTGTTTTAAATTTCTCTCCCTGCTCAGTCCGCTCCTAACTGATGTTCACTAGATATCTGCTATTTGTTTTACTTGTTTATTGGGTTTAGCATTACATACGAGTCCTGAATTCAATACAGGCGACCTTTTTTTGCTTTTCTGCCTTATTTGTTGTTGTTGTTCGACCCCTAATCTACTTTTTAACGTAATTGAATCAGTTTGTTTTGTAAATACATTAAGAGTTTGCCTGTTTTTTGAAAATCGTCAAAAAAGCATTTTTTGGTCATTTCAGGAGACCCAGAAAATTTGTTATTTATTCGTTTAGTTCCTGTTTTAAGGATTTGCTCATAATTTAAGCAAGTTATTAGCATTTTATGCAAAAACTCATATTTGCATAATGTTAATATTTTATTGGGTTTTTAAAAGGTTTAAAAAGATATATGGGGGTTTTAAATCTAAAACGTTATGTTAACCACGCCAAAAACAATAAGAAACATGTTTTTTTTCTAAATTTATCATCTTATGAAATTGAATTAGTTTTAAGATGAAAATTCCACACCTGTAATTTTTAACCAATCAAAACGTGTATTTTTGATAGATCACCATGGCAACGGTTGAATTTTAGTGGAAATTTTTTCCTCGTGGGTACCCAACAGCGAATTATACTGGAAATTTTTTGACGTTTATAATGACAGAATATTTTTTTGACAATCTGGTTTTTATTTGTTTACATGATAATTTTGATACATTTCCATTACAAAGTTTAGATATTTTCTATATTCGTTGGACACCTCCTTTCTTCTTAATGGCAAAAATGCAGGACTTGAAATAAATTAAATGTCTATGTCTAATGAAATATATATAATATTTAGACACTATTCTATTCACCTTTTTTTCCATTTAGCACTTTGAGTTTTGAATAGGTAGTTAAGATGCAAATATTCGTGAACAATTCAGAACAAAATTTCTTTCTTCAAGTAGGAGCCACAATCCTCTAATAATGCGGGTAAATAAGTCATTGCACGATGATTGATCATTACAGCAGACAATTTCACATTTTTTTACGTCGTGCCGCTTGACAGCTTCAAAACTGAAATAAATTTTAGGTTGGGGTTGACTTAGTTGCCATGGTAACTAAATAATCAAGTCGAGGTCAAGTTAAATCAAAAAATAAATTTTAATTATTTAAACACAATTTGGTGTGGAATTTTCTTACCGAATACCACACGAGGTCAAATTAAATCCGGAAATTTTTTCTCCCTCATGAATATTTTTAGAAAATTATCCCTCGTCTTCGACTCGGGATAATTTTCAAAATATTCATGAGCTCGAAAAAATTTCCGGAAATAATTTGACCTCTAGTGGTATTACTAGTGAAAATTTTTTGATTATTCATAAACCAAATAAGCCAGCACTTAATCCTGTAAAATAGTGAACTTAAAACAGTTTTGCTCTATGGTACAGAAATACATATATACATTAGATCTTGATAAAATGTATTTTTGGAGCAAAAAATGTCATATTTGTACAAAATATAACGCCTATTATGTCAATTTTTAAGAGTAAATTTTTAAGAATTCATATTGAAGTTTTTTTTTAAATATAAGCACAGCACTGGATTCATCACCCCTCAAAACTACTAAATTTTATTGAAAAATTTTAAGTAGAAAAATGCACAATAATAACTACAAAAATTTATTCTGTCAAGTTATCCATGAAAAAAACATTGAAATAATATTAAACTTATATATAATACTATACTATAGTAATAGTACCATGTTACTATTAGTTTAATTTTATTCCAATGCTTTTTTCATGGATAACTTGGCAGAATAAATTTTTGTGGTTATTATTGTACATTTTTCTACTTAAAATTTTTCAATAAAATTTAGTATAGGGTCGTTTTGAGGGGTGGTGAATCCAGTGCCGTGCTTAGATTTTGTTTAAAAAAATCGCTAATATGAATTCTTAAAAATTTACTCTTAAAAACTGACAAAGTAGGCCTTGTATTTTGTAAAAATATGGCGTTTTTTGCTCCAAAAATACAGTTTATCAAAAAAAAAAAACGGTTAAAATCGCACAATAAATAAAGATTTTACAGGAGTGAGTCGCAAACAAAGGGGTCACACTGTATATATTTTTCGGATTAAGCAACTAAAATTACAACTCACACTGTATATATTTTTCGGATTAAGCAACTAAAATTACAACTTAAGTTGAATTTTTTTGTTTAGTTTTTAAGAAAAAAAATAAAACCCACAAATGCATATCTTGTGTGGTCCAGAGATATGCAATTAGTCAGTGTCGTAAATTGTTTTTTTTGGTAATTTTTTATGAAAAAAAATCGCAAAAATCTACAGACATCTCTAAAATCATAATTTAAGCTTGTTAAAATATATTTAAATATAAAACCCGCGCCGATTCCGGTAAATCAATAAACAAGCAATTAAACTTTTGGTTTTTCGCGTAAAATGTTGCAATTGGTCTCCACTCAAATGCAACTCTAAACCACTTAATTGTAAAGTAAAACAAAAAAACGGACTAAAAAATTCAAATTGATTGTAATTTTGTCGAATACAGAAATGCAATTTCAATTGCATGTAGTCAACGTTTTTTTATTCGCGAAACTTACCGATATTTAATCAAATAAAAAGTTCTTTGTGCAACTGAAAATAATTTTAAATCATTCACTCAGTATGCAAAGAGTCTCAATACTTCAATTGTACCCCTTAGAAATAAGTTTAAAAGATTCCAGATTTTTATGTCTTTTGCATTTTCCTTGTTTGAGCAGACTACTTGAATTTAAATTATATGGTTTTGGTCACAATCCACACAACAGGTCTGTTCTATCACTGCAACACTGCACAGTTTAACGGCGACCATTTTTGTTGTTTACAATTTTTGTGCTTTGGGTTTGTGCTCTGTTTATACATGTATCTGCAGATTAATAATCGTTTTAAACGTTGTGTTTCTCATAGTAAGCCTTAAAAGAGGCCTTAAAGCTAAGAGGAACAATTTTACTCCTCTATTGTAAAAAATAAACTTTATTCTATCAGGGCTGTCATAAAACTGTCAAATGGCAATTTTAAAGTTAAATTATAACCCACAAATTAACCTTCAAATTGTCATTTGAGAACAAGGTATATTTATTATAAGAGAGGAGTAAAATGGTTGTTCTTATCACTTAAAATCCTTATTTGAGGCTTACTCTTTAAGAAACCCAACGTTTAAAACAATTATTAAACAGCACAAACCCAAAGCACAAGAATTGTAAACAACAAAAATGGCCGCCGTTAAACTCTGTGCAGTGTTGCAGTGTTATTTTTAGTATTTTTAGCATGATATAGAACAGATCTGTCGACCTTGTTGTGTGGATTGTGGTTTTGGTATATTTTTTAAAGTTATCGATTAACCCTAAAGGTTGTTGTCAAAAAGTAATACAATCAAAGACATACCTTGAGCAGGAGCATATATGTTTAAGTAAAGACAATCTTCACTCTGGTTTTTCAGATAGGGGAGCAGCCTCTTCAAGTAATCCAATCTTCCTTTGGGCATCTTTTCCAGCGCTGCAGTTTCATTGGTAATGTCTGGTAATTTTTGTGGACACACAGGTCCTTGTTTATCCGACACTCTTACGCCGTCCCAAGGACTGGGCGTCCTCGTCGGACTAAACCTGTTCGATTTGACTGGAGGTGTGGCATACGGGACCCCGAGAAACACTTCTATGGGTTTCAAGTATCTGTGGGAGTCCATGGGGACTATGAGACCCTGTAGGCGACCGTAACGCGTTTGGACGATGCGGGTGCTAATTTTCGCATTTTTCATGTACGAATTGTCGGCGAGGACTGTTAAAACCGACGTCGATAGTAGGAGGAATATCAAGGTCCCTCTACTTTTAATCCCCATTGTGATTAAGTTGGCAGAAACATTCCGTTCTAAAATTATGGTATCCAGATTTAAGTGTTTCGCATGATTTCTTAGACTTGTATAATTGTTTCTTTCAGTGGAGTTTACAAGTTCCCAAAAGCCTGTAACAAAAGATTTAATTAATTTAAACTTAATTGCTTCTTTAAAACACTACAAAATCTCACGCAGAGTTTAGCAAAATATTTTAACACAATGTACAATAAAAATAATATTATAATATTATAATAGTATTTCGTTTAGTGGTATTTAATTTATAGTTTTTTATTTGCAATCCCCTTAAACTACCCTACAATTCCTTTACAAGCAACGATTAGATAAAATGCAACGTTAAATTAAAATGATTTGGTAAAATATTACAAATTAAAATAAAGTAAACCAAAATTATAACAAACTTAAACCAGAAAAAACTAGAAAAATGATCACTAAAAACAATGACAAGCTAAACTGATGACAAAAATAAAGGCAATATAATTATAACAAGGTTAACCGGCGATAAAAATAAAAATAAGCTTAAATAGGGATAAACTATAAAATAAATTATATCAAGGTCAAATGATAACAAAAACTAAGATAAACTATAATGATTACAAGCTAAAATAGGGACAGAGTAAAATAAAGTCTCAAATAAGGACAAACTCTAAGCATGATAAGTTAAAATGATGACAAGCTTAAATAATGACAAAAATAAACACAAGTTATAATTATGACAAGCTAAAATGATGACAAAGCAAAAATAAGCTAAATTGGCGACAAAAATGAGAGAAAGCTAAAATAAGGACAAGCTAAAATAAATGATATCAAGGTAAAATGGTAAAAAAATAAAGATAAACTATAATAATAACAAGCTAAAATGATGACCAGATACAAAAAAGATATAATTATGACAGTGTAAAACGAAGTCTAAGCATGATTACAAGCTAAACTAATAAAGACAAGCTTTAAATATGACAAGCTAAACTGATGACAAAAAATAAAATAAATGATATCAAGGTAAAATGATATAAAAAATAAAATAAACTATAATGATGACAAGCTAAAATAATAACAAAACAAAATAAGGACAAGCTAAAATAATAATAATACAGTTTAAAATAAAGACAATGACGAGGTAAAAAAGCTAAACTGGCGACAAAAATGAGAATAAACTAAAATAAGGGCAAATTAAAATAAATAATATCAAGGTAAAATTGTAACAAAAATAAAAATAAACTATAATAATGAAGACAAGCATGATAAGTTATAACAATGACAAGCTAAAAAAATGACAAAAATAAAGAAAATATATAAATATGACAAACTTAAATGATGACAAAGTAAAAAGAAGCTAAACTGGCGACAAAAATTAGATTAAGCTAAAACAAGTAACTAATGATAAAAAAACTATAATCATGATAAGCTAAATTGGTGTCAAGATTGAATAATGACAGTGTAAAATGAAGAAAAGCTAAAATAAGCATGAAAAGTTAAAATAATTACAAGATAAACTAATGACAAATAAAGACAAGCTAAACTGATGACAAAGTAAAAAGAAGCTAAACTGGCGACAAAAAGTGGAGAAAGCTAAAATAAGGAAAAACTAAAATAAATGATATCAAGGTAAATCTATATAAAAAAAATAAAATAAACTATAATGATGACAAGATAAAATAATGACAAAACAAAATATGGACAAGCTAAAATAATGACAGTTTAAAATAAAGACAATGATGACGAGGTAAAAAAGCTAAACTGGCGACAAAAATGAGAATAAAGTAAAATAAGGGCAAATTAAAATAAATAATATCAAGGTAAAATGGTAACAAAAATAAAAATAAACTATGATAATAACATGCTAAAAAAAGGACAAGCTAGAATAATGACTGTAAAATCAACACAAGCTAGACTGATGACAATAATGAAGGCAAGCTATAATTATGACAAGCTTAAATGATGACAAGGTGAAAAGCTAGAATAATGAGAATGAAGACAAGCTCAAATAAGGACAACCTCCAAGCATGATAAGTTATAACGATGACAAACTAATAAATGATAGTAAGGTAAAATAATGAAAAAAATAACTATAATCATGACGAGCTAAATTGGTGACAAGATAGAATAATGACAGTGTAAAATGAAGACAAGCTAAAATAAGCATGATAAAATAAAGATATGACAAAAACAAAAACAATCTAAAATTATGACAAGCTAAAATGATTACAAAAAAAAATAAGAATAAGATAACATTTTTGCAAAATATTTATTTTATTTTTGTGTTTTTCATATTTTTATTCGTGATATATTTTGTTCTGATTTTCATTAATATTTTTTTAAGGTTTTATAATTTTGGTAAATATCACAATATTTTTAGATTTACAAAACAAACAAATAAATTAGTAGCTGAACCACGAATTTATGTCAGCTGAAATCTTAAATTGTTATTGAAACAAAACATTTAATTAATTTTAATTTAATTTCTGCTTCAAAACCATGCAAAATTTAATGATTATACTTAAGGCGTCTACGTCGAAAATTTGTTGTTTAGCGTATTGCATGCTGCTGCTGGTATTGTTATCGTTTGTTTTTGCTATGGTTTAAATTATAAAAAATGCAATTTTCAGAGGGCGTCGAGTTAAATACAAAGTAAACAATATTTAATTAAAGTTTAATGTAAGCAGTTCGAATAAACAGAATATTCGGCTGGAATATAATTGCTTTCATGTTTTTCTTAGATATGCTTAAACTTAAAACAACAGCACAACATTATGTATGCCCTAAATATTCCAATTATATTCATGCCTATTAATATAATCATAAATTTTATTATTTTGTTTGGAATAAATAGACTTAAAATAGGTTAATTGTTTAAATTATAAGTTGAAATGTTCACTATCAAAAATGATGATATAAATGACCAGCAAAAATATTGACAATCTCAAATTATAAAAAGTTTAACTTTTTCACGTTTGACAAATTTAAGTTTTTATTATATTTTTTACACTTAAATGTACCAGCTGTTTTAAAAAAAATTTAACGCTTGTATAAAAAAAATAATTTTAATTTTAAGTAAGTCTTATATTTTATTATTACTCGCGTAATATTCATCCCTAACAGATGTACTTAAGTGCAATGTTCTGTACATTAAACCCAATTGAATGTAAGGCTGTAAGAAGCAATGAAGGTAATTAAAGTAGTTTAATACCTCCTCCCCCTGCTAAAATCTAAATCTTGCAAGAGAGAATATTGTTTTCTATTCGAGCACACACGAGATCTTTAAGTGGATATGCTTTCATGCTTAAGTAACTATAAATGTAAATCTCGAGTTGGATGGTTCGGATTACACGTTATTTTTACTATTATTGTGCTTAATATTTATCATTTTAAAATGCTAACAGTTTTCTTGTGCGGTGTTTTCAGTAGAATAATGCACATAGGAAGTGTACGACATTATGCTGTGGTTGGTTGTAATTTACTGCTTTGCCCCAGTTTAGAGATTTTTTGTAAATATGTTGAATTGGGTAAAATGTCTTTAATAATGTTTTAAATTCAATTTTTTTTTATTTTGACAATTTTTAATGTTTTAAAAACTCACAATTTGTCCTACCATTTTAAAATTTATTCTACTGTGCGAATTTGTCCTACCATTTTTTAAATGCATTTTACTGTGCGAGTTATTATTATTATTAAATAAAAGGTCTTTAAGAATATTTTCTCGAAAAACTCTTGAACACGTAAACTGAGTATTTATAGTATTTTTATTTAAAATTTTATAAAGATTGGTAAAGGCGTTGGATATTTTGAACTTGTTATGCGTTAATTTTGACGCGCAGTGTAACTATCTAAAAATTTATTAAAAAACATGGTAACACGCGTAACAGTTAAAATGTCAAATTTGTATGTGTGAATCAAAATTTATCCCTTGAAAATGGCAAATGATAATATCACAGTTTACAGCTAAAAGTGAAGAGAATGTTTTATGGGCACTCTACCCAACATTTTTAATGCTATTAGTTAAATATAGTTTACTGCCGGAAAAATCAAAAGATTAGTAATAACTGTAATAACTTATTATTATTATTAAGATTATAAAATAATTTTCATTTGACAACTGTCAACTAACTTAAAACCAACTTCAGCCTGTGACTAAAGCGCCATAAAGTCACAACTTGTCAATGTGTATTTAAAAGGTAACTTAGTGGTATGAAAACATGTACGATATTGGGTGGGAGTAGAAAAAATATATATTATAACAATAATTTTTATTTGTACAATAGCTCAAAAATAAATTACATAAAACAGGAAAACTTAAAATAGTATTTTTAAATTATGTATAGGCGATTTTTCATGTAATATATCCAAAAGAAATATATTCTTTATAGATTGTGTGATTTGTGATAATATTTTATACATTGTATAAAATTTATGGTGCCACCATAATCGTATATTTTAAACTACATAGTTCTCGTTTTAGTGAAACTTTTATTTTGTGTTCGATTTTAACGTTAAAACAAAGACATTTTATTTAAAAGGTTGTGTATTTGTTTTGTAAACACGCAAATTCCAACGTGCAGCTTTGTATTGAATACATATTTAATAAAAAGTTTTTCAGCTCATTACTTTATTTCAATTGGTGATTATTTTTAATTTGAATTAGCAAAAATACAATTTTATTATATTATACATGGGTCGTTTTCAAAAAACACCCGCCTTCCGCTGTCCGTAAGTTTGAATTCCAATAACTTTGTTAAAAATGATCGTATCTTATTGATTTAACAACCAAGTGATAGCCTAACAAGCCCTTAGTAAACTCTTTCAGAAAATGTTTGTTTAGTTATTTCAGAATAATTTTTTTTTAATTTTGAAACTTGTGAAACACACATTTTTGAATGTCCCATTAGCGTTTTATAAAACTTACATACATGTTTTTTTTTAATAATTGAATACCCACAACTTTGTGTTGCTTTATAGCAATCCATAACATCCTTAGTTAATACAGTAAACAA